CAAAACTCCTGGACCAGATTTTTGCCACTGAATTTTATTAAATATTTACAGAAGAGCTAATACCCATCCTTCTTAAAGTCTTCCAAAATGTGGAAAAGAAGGGAATACTTCCAAACTCATTCAATGAGGCCAGCATCACTGTAATATCAAAACCAGGCAAGACACCACAAAAACAGAAAATTACAGATCAATATCCTTGAAGAACGTACATACAAAAGTACTCAGCAAAATATTAGCAAACTGAATTCAAAAATACATCAAAAAGATTATCCATCATTACCAAGTGGGATTTATTCCAGGGATGCAAGGATGGTACAATATTTGAAAATCCATCAACATCATGCACCACATCAACAAAAAAAAGGACAAAATCACATGATCATCTCAACAGATGCTGGAAAAGCATTTGACAAAATCCAACATCCATTCATGATAAAAACTCTTAACAAAATGGGTGTAGAGGGCAAGTACTTCAACATAATAAAGGCCATATATGACAAACCTACAGCAAATATCAAATTTAGCAGCAAAAAGCTGAAAGCTTTTCCTCTAAGATCAGGAACAAGACAAGGATGCCCACTCTCCCTACTTTTATTCAACATAGTTCTGGAGGTCCTAGCATGGCAATCAGACAACACAAAGAAATAAAAGGCATCCAGATTGGTAAGGAAGAAGTTAAACTGTCACTGTTTGCAGATGACATGATGCTGTATATAAAAAATCCTAAAGAATTCACCAAAAAACTACTAGAACTAATAACTGAATGTGGCAAAGTTACAGGATACAAAATTAATTCACAGAAATCTGTTGCATTCTTATATACTAGCTGAAAGAGAAATCATGAAAACAATTCCACTCACAATTGCATCAAAAAGAATTAAATAGCTAGGAATAAACCTAACCAAGGGGGTGAAAGATCTATATCCTGAAAACTACAAGACACTCATGAGAGAAATTAAAGACACCAATAAATGGAAATACATCTCTTGCTCATAGATAGGAAGAATTAATATTGTCAAAATGGCCATCCTACCTAAAGTAATCCACAGATTCAATGTAATCCCTATCAAAATACCAACAACATTCTTCAGCAAACTAGAACAAATAGTTCTAAAATTCATATGGAACCACAAAAGACCCTGAATAGCCAAAGCAATCCTGGAAAGAAAAACAAAGCTGGAGGGATTATGCTCCCCATCTTCAAGCTCTACTACAAAGCCACAGTGAACAGAACAATTTGGTTCTGGCACAAGAACAGACCCATAGATCAATGGAAAAGAATAGACATCCCAGATATAAATCCACACATGTATGGTCAATTAATATATGATAAAGGAGCCATGGACATACAGTGAAGGAAATGGCAGCCTCTCCAACAGCTGGTGTTTGCAAAACTGGACAGCTACATGTAAGAGAAAACCTTATTGACTAACTCCATACACAAAAGTGAACTCAAAATGGATTAAAGACCTGAATGTAAGTCATGATACCATAAAACTCTAAGAAGAAAATATAGGCAAAAATATAAACATGAGCAACTTTTTCCTGAACACATCTCCTTGGGCAAGGAGAACAGAAGCAAAAATGAACAATTGGGACTACATCAAACTAAAAAGCTTCTGTACAGCAAAGGGCACCATCAGTAGAACAAAAAGGCATCCTACAGTATAGGAGAATATATTCATAAATGACATATCTGATAAATGTTTAACATCTGAAATATATTAAGAGCTCACATGCCTCAACACAAAAAAAAACAAATAACCTGATTAAAAATATGGGCAGAGGATCTTAGCAGACACTTCTCCAAAGAAGAAATTCAGATAGCTAACAGGCACATGAAAAGATGCTCCACATCACTAATTATCAGGGAAATGCAAATTAAAACCACAGTGAGATATCACCTCACACTGGTTAGGATGGCCAACATCCGAAAGATAAGGAACAACAAATGCTGGCAAGAATGCAGAGAAAGGGGAACCCTCCTACACTGTTGGTGGGAACGTAAATTAATTCAACCATTGTGGTAAGCAATATGGAGGTTCCTCAAAAATCTAAAAATGGAAATACCAGTTGATACAGCAATTCCACTCCCAGGAATTTACCCAAAGAAAACAAGGTCCCTGATTTAAAAAGACAAGACATATGCACCCCCATGTTTATAGCAGCACTTTTTACAATAGTCAAGAAATGGAAGCAACCTAAGTGTCCATCAGTAGATGAATGAATAAAGAAGAGGTGGTACAATGGAATATTATTCAGCCATAAGAAGAAAACAAATCCTACCATTTGCAACAACATGGATGGAGCTAGAGGGTATTATGCTCAGTGAAATATGCCAGGCAGAGAAGGACAAGTAGCAAAAGATTTCACTCTTTTGTGGAGTATCACAACAAAGCAAAACCGAAGGAACAAAACAGCAGCAGACTCATAGACTCCAAAAAGGGACTAGTGGTTACCAAAGGGAAGGGGGTGGGGAGGGAGAAGGGAATTAAGGGGCATTGTAATTGGTAATCACAATATAGGTAGGTCACAGGGAAGGCAGTGTAGCATGGAGAAGACAAGTAATGATTCTACAGCATTTTACTATGCTGATGGGCAGTGACTGCAATGGAGTGAGGTGGACTTGATAATATGAGTGAATGTTGAAACCACAATGCTGCTCATGTGAAACCTTCATAAGATTGTACATCAATGATACCTTAATTAAGAAAAAAATATTAACCATAATCTGAGCTTTCAGTAAGTCATAATCACTGATCACATTTTACCACAGCAAATATAATAATAGTAATGAAAACTTTGAAATATTGCAAGAATAAGCAAAATGTGGCATGCAGACACAAACTGAGCAAATTCTGCTGGAAAAAAATGTTACCAACAGACTTGCTCAATGCAGGATTGCCACAAACCTTCAATTTGTAAAAAATACAATGTCTACAAAGTGCAATAAAAGTAGACATAGGAATGCCTATATACTGAAAAAAAATGAAAGCCTCAGAGAGCTGTAGGAAAATAACAAAGGATCCAGCAATCATACCATCAAGGTCACAGAGGACATTAGTTGTTCCTTTTTTTAAAAATAAAATCAGGATTGAGTATATTAATATCTAGTCAAGTAGATTTCAAAGCAAAGAAAATTGCCAGAGAGAAAAAGACCTTCCATAATGATCAAAGGATCAATCCCACAGGAAGAAATAATGTTCCTAAATGTGTACATACCAAACCAGAGCCTCACAATACATGAAACAAACACCAATAGAGCTGACAGGATAAAAAGACACACCTACAGTTATAGCTGGAGATTTCAGCATCCCCCCTTAGCAACTTTGGTAACTCTCAGACATAAAATCAGCAAGTATACACAATATCTAAACGCTATTAACCAACAGGATGTAATTAATACATGTAGAACACAGAAAAATATACATTTTTTTCCAAGCATCCTTAGGTGTCTCACCAAAATAAACCACATCGTGGGCCAAAATTCAAACCTAAACAACTATAAAGAACCAAAATCATACAGAGTGTGCATTCTATAACCATAATAGACTCAAATGACAAATCAATAATAGAAAAGCCAGTCATATCTCTACACAATATTGTTTATTTTATGGAAAATAAACAATACTCTAAATAATCCATGGGTCAAAGAGGACTTCTCAAAATTTGAAGATACATAAAACTGAATGAATGCAAACACAACATATCAAAATACATGGGCTATACCTAATGCAATGCTGAGAAATTTATACTGTTAAATGTTTAATTAGAAATTAGAAAGTAAATATCCTAAATTCCTACCTCAGGAACTTGGAAAATAAAGTCAAAATAAATTCAAAACAAGCAGAAGGAAGGAAATAATAAAGATAAGAGTAGAAATAAATGAAACTGAAAAGAAAAAATGAAACAAACAGTTGTTATTTGGGGAAAATCAATAAAATTCATGAAAGTCTAGCAAATCTGACAAAATTAAAAGGAGAAGATTCAAATCAATGATTTGGGGGATATTGATACAGATTCTCAGCCATTAAAAAGACAACAGTGGGATGGTTTGAACCATTTACTTAAAAATTCAAAAACAGAAGAAATGGACCAATTCCAAACAAACCCCACATACTAAAAAATCTCATGCAAAATGAAATTGATAATCAGCATATCTCTACAAACATTAAAGAGATTGAATTTGCAATTTAGAATGTCTAGAGAAAGGAATCCCTAAGTTCATATGGTTCCGCTGAAGAATTCTAAAATTCATTTGGAGAAAAATTAACCAATTTTATGTAATTTATTTCAGGAAATAGCAGGAGCACCTCCCAACTTATTTTATGAAGCCAGTATTACCCTGATTTGATTTTATTTTTTAAACTACATCACAATATATTCCCATATCTCTCATGAATTCATTGCAAAAATTCTCAAAAAAGTTAGCAACTGAATCTATCACTTTGTAAAAAGAATTATACATCATTGTCTAATCAGATTTGTTCCAGGAATACAAAGCTGATACAATTTTAAATCAATCTGTGAAATCCATTATATCAACAAGCTAAAGGGGGAAAAAATCATATGATCTTATCAATTCATGCAGAAAATGCATTTAACAAAATCAAACATTCATCATTGAACAAATCTCTCAGCAAGTTAAGAACTGAGAGGCATTGTCTGAACTTGATAAAGAGCCTTTACAAAAACAAACAAACAAAAAACAACTACAGCTATCATACTTAATGCTGCTCCCCCTTCCTTAAGACTTGGAACAGGAGGACAAAGACGTCAGCATTCAACCACTCATATTTAACGTAGTACTGGTAGTTTTAGCCATTTAATAAGGCAAGGAAAAGAAATACCAAACATCCATGTGGAGGGAATGAATATATAAGCTGTAGGCTATGAAGAAAATATTTGCAAATCCTACAATCAAAGGTTTGCTAGCTAGGATATATAAACTCAACTGTAAAAAACAGAGGGAGTCGCCTCCCTGTGCCCCGGGCAGTGAGCGCTCTGCCCGCCCGCCGGCTGCTGCCCCGCGGCTGGGGGAGCGAGCGCCGAGCCGAGCGTGCGGGAGGCGGGTCTTCGCCCGGAGCCCGGCCAGGACGCGGAGCGCGCCGAGCCTGCGGACAGTGGGGCGACGGGACCCAGCCTGTGCGGCCCCTGCCGGCCGTCCGCACGCCCGGCCGCCCGCCCGCGAGGAGCAACAAATGCTACAGTGGCTCCCCGGTCATTTTTTCTCATGAATTCCGGTGATCGATCTGAACCATTCCCGACATGGGGGTATGAGGAAAACAGTGAGAGCGAGTTAACCGAAGACAGAGTAAACTCTGCCAATCAAGGCAGCCGTCTTCAAAAACTACCCGTTGTGTTCGTCTCAGAAGATGCCTCGGGGTATCGGACCAGCACCCGGTTGGCTGTTTTCACCCCCTCGGCGTGCCCTGGCGTGTTCGCAGCGAGCCCTCCTCTAAACGTCCCGGCCCCCATTGTGTTCGTCCTGAGAACGCAGGCCAGGAAGCCTGCCGTGGTGTACATGTTCCACCTGGCCGTGGCCGGCGTGCTTTGTGTGTCTGTGCTCCCGTTTAAGATCAGCTATTACTTTTCTGGAAGCGACTGGAAATGTGGGTCTGAAGTGTGTCGCTTCGTCACCGCAGCGTTTTACTGTAACGTGTCCGCCTCCACCACGCCCATGACAGTCATAAGCACTGACCGGTTTCTGGCTGTGATGCTCCCCACGCAGGCCCTCTCCTGGAGCCCCCTGGGGAGGGCTTCCTTCACCCGCCTGGCCCGGCTGGGGCGTCGCGGGGGCGGTGCCTCTTCTACTCAAGGAGCAAACCACCCAGGTGCCGGGGCTCAACATAACCACCTGTCACGATGTGCTCAAGGAAACCCTTTTGGAAGGCTGTCATGCGTATTGCTTCTCGGCCTTCTCCGCTGTCTTCTTTTTTCTGCCATTGATCATTTCTACAGTCTGTTATGCGTCTACCATCTGCTGTCTTAGCTCTTCCACAGTCGCCAACCAGAGCGAGAAGTCCCGGGCTGTGTTCTTGTCGGCTGCTGTTTTCTGCATCTTCATTTGCTTTGGACCCACAAACGACCTTCTGATTCTGCATTACTCATTCCTTTCTCATATTTCCACGACAGAAGCTGCCTGCTTTGCCTCCTCCTCTGTGTCTGTCAGCAGCATAAGCTGCTGCATTGATCCCTTGATTTACTATTTTGTTTCCTCCGAGTGCCAGAGGTACCTCTGCAGCATTCTGTGCTGCAAAGAAGGTTCTGATACCAGCAGTTATAACAGCAGTGGTCAGTTAATGGCAAGAAAAATGGATACCTGCTCGAGGAACCTGACTAACGGTGTGTACAAAAAGCTGTTAATTTAGGAAAAGAGATTGCCGGTGAATTAAAAAGAAAAGGTGGAAAGCAAAAAAACTTGAGAATTCTGGTAGTCCCTGTCAAAAAAGTATTCACTATGCCATCTAAAATACCAAATGTATGATTTGCATGCCTCCTTCTTATAAGAGCCACTAAGCATATGTATTTGCTACTTAGGAAGAGATAACAGGAAGAGAACACAATGTTATTCCAAGAGAGTATTTCCAATGCTACAATAATAACTGAATGTCACTTTTTAATATATTTAGGCGACTTACTACATCAATGTGTGTGTGTATCTGTATACACACAGTTGTATCATTTGCAGTAAAGTATAGAATAAGCACTTTGAAACCCTGCTTTTTTTTTGGTCCAGATAAATTTTCATTCTCTGATTTAATATGCAAAGCTTAGGTTGGTGGAGTTTAGCCCTGAACATCTGAAGATGTCCATCAATACTGAAGTATTCTATAGTTTGGGTTTATCCAGCTTTTTGCAAATAAGTGTATTTTGAGAGTGTACTTTGAGAGTGTTTACTTAGTACTATCTGTGTATAGAAAATCTACAGTTTTTCAGTTGAAACGATCAGTGTTTGAGTCTTTAAATTAAGAAAACAGACCATATGGGCAGCATTTTTGACATTTTACACACTCTATATGTACCAAAAATGAGCATAGGTCCCACTAGTGACTTTAGGTTGGCTTCCAAAATAACCTGCCCCCAGATGGAGGACTCCGAGCAGTAGATACACAGCAAGGCCATTTCAGACACAGATTGGCCAGAAACCCTCCTGCTGAGCCTCCAGAGATCAGAGGGATCAGGGCCGCAGATCTGCTCTCTCCTCCTGGGGTTCCTTTGAGGTTGGCTGTTAACTAATCATGTCTGTTAGAAATCAGCAAAGGAGGGTGTGCTATACCATGAGATAATGAATGTATATGACTTTGCCCGTTTTAAAAACAAAGAAAGAAGACACATTCAATTCCAGCAGTTACCCTGCAAGGACCACGAGCAGATGGGACCCATGCGGCAAACATGAACACCCACTGTGTGTTCTGGGCACTGTGATGGGTGCCTGGCATAGAGTGTTCAATAAGACTGAGACCTGCCCTCAAGAAGAACACAGTAGACTAATAAGTAGAGTATGATACATGCATAGTAAATATGTCATTATATAAACAAGTGTTCTTAGCCAGATGTCACCAAGCAAGTTTCATATAAGCAAGGCCTGTCAGATGAAGAACTTGAACATTTGGGTTACTGCTTCCTGTGGTAAAAACTTGAAGTGAAAATATAATACAAGAAGTGCATTTTTCAAAATAAGTCCTTCAATCTACATTAACTGGACACAAGATATAAATATTTTCAATAAATTATATCAGGTTTTTATACAGAATAAATTGTATCAATCTGAAAAAAACAAATGAAATTGATTTTGAAATTTTTCCCCTTTTCTTGAGTTAAGATGATTTTAAAAAGCATTTTTAACCCCATGATGAGATGAAATATAGAAAATATGGACTTATTAACACAGTAATTTGAAATTAGGTTGAAATGTATCTTTTCTCCTTATGAAAAAATGTTGGCATTTTGAACAAAAAAAAGGAGAAAGTTGAAACGAAAATGCTTACCTATTTGATAGAACAAACTATTTCCTGATATCATAGAATAATTTATATAAAAAGTATATATTGTAACTAGAAGCTAGCATTGATTTTATTAATTTGGTTTCTAAATTCACTGTATAGAATTCAGTGGAAATTTACTCTCATTGTTTATTCAGTCTGTATACATATTAAAATACCTCTGACTCAATATGGCTATTATACTATATTATCAGTCTGTACTTATAAAATATTATGTTATCGTTTTTATGTTCTTTTTAAAAAAATTATGTAACCTATATTAATAAACATGATGTTTAGAATAAAAAAAACTCAACAGAAAAAAATCCAATTATAAACTAGGCTATATGAATACATATTTCTCCCAAGGGGATATACAATGCACACAGCAAATTAAGGACATGAAAAGATGTTCAACATTACTAGCCATCAGGGAAATGCAAATTAAAACTGCAATGGGATATCACTGTAGAACTATTAGAATGGCTAAAATTAAAAATTGTAATAATGTCTTTGGGAAGCTCCTTCACACCTACTTTGTTAGTGGAATGGAAAATGGTACAGCCACTCTGGAAAACAGGTTAGCAGTTTCTCTAGACATACCACTGTCATATGGCTATCAGCTACACTCCTGGACATTCATCCGAGAGAAATGGAAACTGAAGTTCACACAAAAACCTGTCTGCTAATGCTCATAGCAGCTTTATTTTTAATAGCCACAAACTGGAATCAGCCTAGATATCCTTCAGTGGTGAATGGTTAGATACACCTGTGTTACAAACATACCATGGAATATCACCTATCAACAAAGAGGAGTTGATTATGTATGCAAGAAATTGTTTGTATGGTCACATATATATAACTTTCTTGATATGACACATTTTAGAAATGCAAGACATGCTTATGGTTTCCAGGGCTTAGGAATGGAATTGGGTGTGAGGAAGTAGGTAGATTATAAAGGGTGACAAGAGGCATCCTGGTGTTGCGATTCTTCAGTATGTTGACTGTGGTGGTGAACAAAAGAATATACATGGGTGATAAAATTGCCGAGAATGTAATATATATTCACATGCAAATGAGTACAAGTGAAGTCTAAACAATATTAGTGGCTTGTGTCAACGCCAGTATCCATTGTGATACTACGCTACAGTTTTACAAAATGCTACCACTGTAGGAAACAATGTATTCAGGAGACATCCATATTCTTTCTTACTACTGCTTGTGAATCTTCATTTATCTCAATGAAAATGTCAATAATAGCTTGTTAAACCTGTCAAACAATTTTTCAAAGTGGCTGTATCATTTTGCATTCCCACCCATAATGTGCATGAATTTCAGTTGTTCCACATTCTTATGAGCACATAGTCTAGCCATGTTTTTTTATGCATGTGGCTTCAATTTGAATTTCCCCAGTGGACACCACACATGTACCAAAGGAGTATGGAAAACTTTATTACTGACACACTGGGGCTTTCTGGGAAGAGCAAAGCAGGTCTTTAAGGGTCTGGAGTCTTATAGTTGTTAAAGGGTGGGGCTAAGGTGCGAGTTCCCACTTACAGGCCAGGACGTGCATTATTTGGATTTCCCATGGTTACCAATGGAGGCCACACCCAGGCTTTCTCATCCACTTTCCAAGATGTGGGGCAGAAGGGAAAAAGTCGTCAACATCAAACATTGAAAATGGAGTCCAGCTGTTTATGCTTTTTCTCTTATCTATTGAGAAGATGAAATACTTGTTCTTATTAATTAATAAGGTAAAGTGCCTTGATTAATTTTCTGAATGTTGATGATTTTGTATGTTGGAATGGAATCCATTTGGCCCTGGGGTATTATTTTTATATATTGCCAGTTTTGATTTGCTAGTATTTTGTTTGAGGATTTTGCATTTACGTTCCTGAGGGATATTGATCAGTAGTATTTGTTTCTTGTAATATCTTTGTTTTTGTTATTAGAGTAATGCCAGCCTCACTAAATAAGTTTGAAAGTGGTCCATCATGTTTATTTTTGTGAGAATTCTGTACCATTCGTATCATTTCTTCTTTGAATTCACCCCAGAGAAATCATCTGGGCCTAGTTTCTCTTTTGGAAGACTGTAAACTATGAATTAGATTTTTAAACTAGATGCAGAACTACTTAGGTTGTATATGTCTGATAATTGTCTTTTTTCTGAAGTCTGCTTTGCTTGATATTAATAAAGCTATTCTGGCTTTCATTGTTTTAGCGTTTGCTCTAAACAGTACTACTTGTATGTCTTTCTCCATTCTTTTAGTTTTAACCTATTTATGTAATTATATTTAAAGTAGGCTTTTTGTAAAGAACATACACAGTTTCAACAGCCACCACATAGTCTACAAGCCATCTTCAATATGACCTTTTAAGAAAAAGTTTGCCAATCCATTTTAGACAGTTATCTTTCAAAACACTCATTTTTAAAAGTATATATATTTAAATTTACCTTCATTTTTCCATTTCTAAAACTCATTTCTTTATATAGATTCCATGTTTAAGTACCATGTCATATTCTTTTGCCTGAATAATTCTCATTAATATTTATTGTAGTATAAATATACTGATAATGAATTCTGTTTTAGTTTGTTTGAGAAAGTATTTTTCCTTCAATTTTGAAAGATACTTTCACTGTGTATGGAACTCTGGGTTGACAATATTTTTTTCTCAGCACCCCAAAAATATTATGTTATAGTTTTCTAGTTTGCATTGTTTCTAATGAGAAATCTGCTATACGTTTTACTTCTGTTACAATTCTCTACTTTGCTCCTTATACTTAATGTTTCTTTTGTCAAGGTTACCTTTTCAATTTCCCTCTTTCTTTTATTTTCAGCAGCTTGAATATAATATAAATACCAGTGTATCTATCTATCCATGTTTGGGTAATTCCTATTGACCTATCTCATTAATTCTTTCAAGCTGTGTCTATGGATGGTGCACTGAAGGCATTATTTATTCCTGTTATTGGTTCTCCATTTTTAGCATTTCCATTAATTTAATAGTTTCAATCTTTCTGCTTGAAAAGACCATCTGATTTTGCACATTGCCCACCTTTAGTATATTAATGATGATTATGCTAAATTACCTATCAGATAGTTCCATTTTTGTCATATCCAAGTCTAGTTCTGATGATTTCTATATATCTTCTGAGTGTCATTTTCTTGATTTTTGATTAGTTCAAAAAATCCTGGATTTTAACAAGAAAAAATGGAAATCTTGTAAGAAACCAGATGGAAAATCAGGTTTGCTACACAGGAGTGAAAATCTGACTGACCTCAGGGTCTGGCTGTCTCTGTGCTAGCTAAGGTCAGAGGTTGCCCTGGAGCATCTGCAGAGTCCTGGCAGGAAAAGAATCTAAAATTACAAAATTCAGATGAGCT